AGGTTCATGCAATCAGCAATTTGAATACTTCTTCAAGTGGAGATTGTGATTAGATTTATTTTTAAAACTTCATGATTGCACCATCCTTTTGAATATGTTTATAACTTCTGGATCTCACAACATCCTACAATATTTAGCTCCAGAATTAAATGTATTGTTCTTTGTTGAATAGTTGTCTCCCAATATTACTGCTATGTGCTAAATTTGAGAGAGTTCTTTAAAATTCAAACACATTAACAACCTACACAAATACTGCTATTATGTCTGAGTGTCCTTTTCCTAAACAGTGCTCAGTTTAATTAAATAAATTTTACAAAATCATAATCATATTAACCACTGGGACAGTCTATCCATGAAAAGAAAGAGCAGAGAATAGAGAATGTTTTTTTTTTGTTGTTTTTTTCTTTTTTTTAAAGATCTATGTGCATCCTTGTGTAGGTAGGACCTAAATATGTAGAAATGAATGTATGAAACAGAAAAATATGGAAACGTAACAGCATGGGCTTCAGATTCCTATTTTCCAGCCATTTTATCTCTGTTAACAAGGAGAAAACACAAATCAAGGTGAAGTCTGAGAGACCTGGTAACCTCCAGGTCTGTAAAACGACAGTCTAGCTGATGTCTCATGTTATGTTCAGACTTGAGTCATCAATTACAAGCTAGCATGTTGTCTTTTCACACTCAAAACTATAGTTAATCCAATTCAATACTTATAGTATTAATATCTCCTTCTGTAAATGGGTAGAACAGTCTTGATTTGCTATACACATGGAAGATTATTTTCAAATTGTGGAAAGCATTTTTCTGGGCAAAGTAGAAAAAATAACCTGTGCCTTGATTTCTCCACTTGTAATCTGAGTTAATGATTATCACCTTATTTGATGCTTTTGGTACCTGCATGAAAAGGAAAATATAGGTATAATTACTTTTATCAGCAGGTGTATTTCAGAGGATGGTATTCCAGACTAAACAGGGAGAGAGTTAAAAGAAATCGTAGAATCATAGAAATCAATAAATTCTCCCTGACATCTAATCTAAACCTTCTCTAGCACAACTTGAGGCTATTTTCTCATGCCGTAAATGATTCTTTGTAACTTATTAAATTTTATCAAATGATAAATGAATAGACATATATGGAAAATCTCAGCCTGCAGGGCAAATTTATTTGTCGAGAATTCTACAAACAATGCTCAACAAGCATTTGATGATGGAATAGAGTAAAAACCCTGTATGTGAACACATCACCATAATAGTTTGAATTCATGTGTGGAAAAAAACATTCTCCGAAAAATGTTGAACTAAAACCCCAAGTCTGAATGCTAGTAAACTTTGGGGAGGAAAAAAAATGAAACTGACATCTCTGTTTTGATGTGAAAACAAGAAAAGAGAAGAACACAAGAGATTCTGTCTAAACATTGGGAATCATTTCTTCACAGTGTAGGTGACTGAGCACAGGCACAGATTGCCCAGAGAGGCTGGGAGATCTTCAAGAGCTGCCTGGATGTGATCTTGGGCACCCTGTTCTGAATGTTCCTGCTGGAGTACAGGCTGGAGCAGATGGACCCAGAGATCCCTGGCAGCTTCCTTCTGTGATTCTATTATGTTCTATATACCCATTGTTTATTAGTTCATATTCCACTGTTGATTTTTTTTTTTAATTATTCATAGGATACGATGAAAAGAATATTATGTGAGCAACAGATCTGAAACTCATAGCACTGACAGTTCTAACATTTTTATTATTGCTGTTACCATGATTATTGCTATCACTATCGTAATCTCAATTGCTATTACTATTAATTCTATTAAGGTTGACACAACCACAAAGCCTCTTTGAAAAGTTATTTTAAACAATCATTACTTTTATTGTAAGTGTGCTTTCCACTTCTTTTGAATATTTGCTTTGAAATATATTTACATAGTTTCAGAATCTTTCCTACATCTTCCCCTGGCTCCATCCTGGGCACTTTTTGACCTCATAATCTGTTTGTGCATGACATCACAATCTGTTGCCATGGAAAGGGTCGTAATATCAAACAAGTAAGATGGTCAAAGGTTGCCTTGCAGAAGAGAGATAGAGATTTCATAGGAGAAATCTATTAATACTTAAATATAGTGCAATGGGAAATATTATATTATCTTTACCCAAATCAGTTACATAATTTTAAAGGAAGCACTCAAATAGTTTGAGTTCTTATCTCCTGTCAGAGTCCTCTATTTTCAGAGGTAATAGAAGTTTTATAAGCATATGCTTTTATATATATAAACAAACTGCATACAGTGCATGCTATAATATCCACTGCAATTTACTGAGTGTTCTCTTAGCATTCAGAATGAAATGTGACAATTTAATCTGGTATTTGTGCAACAATCCCGAATCCAACGTAGATTTCCTGAACAACCCACACCATCTGTAAGTGGTAGGTTTATTGTTAGTATTGACTGTCTGGAGTACTGCGTCAGTTCCAGGCTTCCAACTCTACATACTTCAGAGTAAGATGTAGGACACGACCAGAAATAGGTCATTCCTGCAACATAAAAGAGCAAAGAATAAGGCACCAAGAAAAGTCATGCAAGTTCAGATTCTCAGCTCTTTCTGCTATTGGGGGTATTAGAAGTCTTGGAGCAATTATTTCTGCCTCTGGGAGAACTCCCACTTGCACTCATCACTGCATCCCACGCAGCTCAATGCAGCTGCAGCAGTAAATCTAGATTTCTAAGGCTGTGGTATAAGCAAAAACAAGGAGTAATGCCATGGCAGTTGTTCTGTTCTGGAAATTTGTTGTTCAAGTTTGCTGCTTGTTTTGGTTAGCCTAGAGCTGATCCTGTATGCATAGCAATTACCCTTTATTACGCCTTTGAAATTAGGCAGTGGCAGGATATAGCAAAAGTAGTGTTGCTTTAATGGTTGAAAAGCTTTTATGGACTATAGGTGTGGCTGTTTGTTTGTGTTTATGTTCCTAATTTGTAGTTTCCAACCTCACTGAGGTACCAGGCCTCAATGAACACTGAGCCATAAAGAAGGTTTACTTTTCTGTTTATTGAAAAATAGTGAAAATTCTTTAAAGCAAAAATGTACATTGTCTTTGCTTTTATCACAGTCACAGTAACTATCTTTCAAAATCATCACGTCTGAAAATAACTCATGGTTTTTTTTCAGGCTTTCAGAGAATTTTTCATCTAAAAAAATAAGAATGAGAAAGCCTCAGCGTTGAAGTATTCAAATAATTAAGGATGTCTAGAGGCAGAGTGTTAGAACTGAAATACATTATTTTTTCAGTAGCATTAAGGAAGGAAGTTGAGTTTATCAAGATTTGGATGTTGTACACATTATGCAACTGTCCTCTATATATTCTACTAAAATCACCTATATTTTCTCTATAAAATAATTTGAGTGTTTGATATAACTAGACTCTGCCTGCTGTTGGCAAGAATGAAAAATACATCATTGCACATATCTCCAAGGTAAATTGTTCATCAGGGAAGTGTGCCTCTAGGGAATATTTTCTTAGGAGACCCATGAACAATGAGAGATTTTCCACAGGGTATGCCCACAGGGTAAAGTGTACTTCAAAGTGAGAGATCCAAGATGAAATGAGACTCTTCAAAGGCCAGCTCCACTTCCCCTCTCAACAAGACAAATGACTTCAAAGGGGAACCCACCAAGGTTGTAAATAACTTCTCCATAATACAGAAACCTTATTGAAAGCAAGTTCTACCAGTAATATGATATTTTTTAAGAAATTACCCCAAACCAGGTGGGGTCTCAATGAATCTAATGTTCCTCAAGCAAATGTATGATCATCTAGAAGACTTAGGGAGATTAAATGTGTACTGTTCATTTCCTTCTCACTTCTCTAAACTTATAGCAATATTTAACAGTTACAGGACTGACAGCCTAAGAAACCATGACAACCTAACAGCATTATTAGGGACTCCAGGGACAGCTTGTGTCTAGGGTCCATTACAATCAAGTTAGCTACAGACCAAAAGTAAGTGAGGAACTACTAAGTAAGGCTCTATTTTTACATATGATATTATGTATCATTGCAACTGTCTAAATGAGTACTTTCAGACTCAAAACTTTATTACAGCATCATCAATGACAGATTTTTGTAATGATTGCTAATAATCATTCTCCAGATCAACATCTTATGACAAGTCAATGCTTCCATATATATCTTTGTACAGGGAGAGAATTTAAAAGATAATCATAGAATCTTAAAATGATTGAATAAACAGCAACACTAGAAGAAGAAAAAGAAAAGAGAAAACATGAACAATAGAGACCCAAAATAACCCTTCCATTAGCATCGCAGAGAATCCTAAGTAAGGAAAACTACTACTGAGCCTGTCAGTGAGATAAAAGGTAGTGAAGGTTTGGTATCTCCCAGGTAAAGGTATCTCCCAGCATAAAATCTAGTCAGTTTCTTATTAAACCTGAAAATCAGCCTCTGATCGAGCCCTAGAAAGATAAATATAATCCTGATATATTTGTCCAGCTCCAGAGATCTGTTGTTTAAGAAATTAGTGCTGACTTCATCAGATACATCATAAAGAAACATAGTCTTCTATTACTCACCATTCAGTCTCACACATATATGCACTCTAATGGAAAAGAGTCATACCCAGTGGCACCAGACTATTGATATTTCTACTCTATTGTTTAAGTAATGCGCAACATTTAATATGTCAAATGGCATGACTGTTAAAAAAACAACTAATTACTAGATAATCTTCTCACAAATCAATTGTACTGTACTAAACAGTGGGGGTTGTATACATTATGAGACAGCACTACACTTAATACTGGAAGTCTTGAAGAATCTCAGAGGCTTATTTTCTAAGGTTTATAGCCTGGTTTGCTGAGAAAGAAATAATAATAATTGCATTACTTGTTTGCCTGATCAGTACATTAGTATGTTTAGAAAAGGTTGATTAAACAAAAGCGAATCTGAGAGGGAGGCAAAAATCATGAAGGTATGTAGTTCTTGCTGACAGCTTTGTGGAGCAGAGGGAAGTCGCAGACTTTTTTGAACCTCACTGAAGGAATAGCTAGTGTGTGGTTCAATACTTGGTTGACCTCAGAGTTGACACTGGATCTCCAGGTCTAGAAACAGAATTGTAGACCTGTAATCTGTGGATCACGTGTGGAAATCTCTAAATTTACCTTAAGTAGCTCCAGTCTGAATACTTGCTTAACTGAAAAAGTTCTGGCTGAAAAAGTGCCTTGTGATGCTTTAAATACCTTTCACAAATATTTGAATCCAAATATTTTCTATTTTTACAAATGCTCATCAGTTCTCTGACAAGAATTGCATTTAATCCTTTTGCGTGGCTTTTTATGAAATCATCCATAAAAATGCCACTTGTGAGCTAAAATCTAAGTCCCTTTTTCACCACTCCCCTCCCTGAAGAAAAATAAGATTCCTGACTTTTGAAAGAAACAGCTACAGTACAGATTAATCATGAGTTTCACCCAGAATCCTAGGAGGCTCTCAAAGGCACCCAAACTGTCTAATTGATGTTTTTCCATAAATTTTGTCTAGCAAACATTGACACAAATAGGTAAAGTGTGGTAAAGTTATGACATCTTTATCAAACGCTCTGTTCTGATTTAATTGAGAGAGTATGGCATGTGCCTTATCACAGAGGACAGCCCACCATTGGAATAGTCTTACCACAAAATAATTGAATGGCAGACTTATGACTCTACCTATATGCATAATTAGATATAGTAAAAGGCAAACATGAATCAGAATAAAGAGAAAGAACAAAGATCACGTTGACTGTGACTGTTTATTTATGTCATGTACATCCCACTGTATTTTACAGGATGCCTAGAACAGAGTGAGGTCCTTACTGAAGTGTATGAGAGGTAAATTTCTTGTGTCTTAGTCATTAGATCATAATTCAAAATGGAAACTTGCATTTGATTGTTGTGAAAACTGAAAACTTCTAGCATACTTTTGGATGCTAAAGAAGCTTCATTGCTTATAGATTTCACTAAATTTTTATAGGCATTGAATGGAACTACTGTTAATAAATGGAGTGTTAAAAACTGAAAGCATCACGTGTTTTTTTTCTCTATGTCATGCATTCTAAAAATTGAAAAATATTCATAGGAATAGTAATAAATCTAGGTGGAAACTTTGATTATTATGTTTTCTTCATTACTTCACCTTCTTTGAAGTTTTATACCCAAAAGGTACCTAACTAATCATCAAGTATTATTTTACACTTTCAGCCATTCAGGAAAGAAAGAAAGAAGATAAATGACATGAGCTCAAGGATGGAAATAGCTACTATACCAACAGTGAATAACCATTACAATTTATCCAGCAGGTTGAAAGTTGTGCAGTGAAGTTACCTCCAAAAAAGCTGTGGGTTTGCTGCAAATGCCTGTGGGGAAAGTCATATTAAGTGTAGCTTACTATATTGTTGACCACATCCTGGTAGACTTCATCAACTGGTGTACCTGAAACCAGCTGCAGCTTGTCAGCGTGAACTTAATGTACATGCTGGCTTTGCATATGTGGTTCATTTTTGATGAGGCTCATCTCATGCAAGCTTGCTGCTCTCCATTTCTCGTGCGCATCAGTCAGGTGGTCATTTCATAGGTTGACTTGTGAATGCAGAACCTAGGGCTGAGCGAAAGCATTTACAGCATGATACACTCCTATCTGTAGTCAAGTTTTAAGATTTGAGTTTCTAGTTAAAGCCTTGTGGAGAGTTTCAAACTGATTCATATTGTGCTTTACATTGCCGGAAGTCAGAACTGTGTTACAGTTTTCTGTTCTTGAGCTTTCAATGTGTTGTGCCTAGCACAAGCAGTTTATACTGATTACAGTGGTTGTATGCATGTTTGTGTGAGAGAGAGAGCTGTGTGAGAAAATACAAAGCTCAGATGCTGAACTCTGGCCTCAGAGTGCTTATGTTGAGTTGCAAGGTGGTGACACCCAGGGTACAAAAAGAATATATACTATGCAATGCATTTTTATTTTATAATCTACTTTACAGCAGCTGAGTGACTATCATGTGTCTGAATGGAAGCCATACATATCAGTTCTATGTTTAAAAACTTTGAGGATGCTCTCATAATTTTTCTCAAAATAAACCACATTACAATCAAAACCTTGAGCCTGTTTTAGGTGCCATGAGATGAGGATATATATATATTTACATATTCATTTTTACTTCTTTTTGCTTCTGGAGTTTGCACTATAAGTAGGACATACTTTCAAGATCTCTGCAGTTACGGGAGTAAAATTAATTTAAAATGATAAAAGCTTAGATTCTAACATGCTATCTTGACTTAAGAATCTAAACACCTAACGAAAGCCTCTAAACATTTTTTATATTGTAGAACTTGTGATCTGAGTGTGTATAGGAAGCTAAAGGAGATTCAGAGGGGTTGTGGAAACTATTCTGTGCTTCCCAAAGTTCGGAAAGAAATTTTAAAAAATGGTGGTTTTACTGTACATCATACTTTGTTGGAATTAGAGTTAGAATTATAATTACTTTAATATGACCTTTTCATGCATAAGAGGAGCAAAATAGAAATATTTACTTAAATTCTGAGGTTTCACACTGGGACACGTGAGCTGTGAAAAGGTGCAAGTAGAAGGCATACAAATAATATTCATAAAGAAAAATATTTCAGTGACAGATAATAAGATAGTGCACTAAGATGCACTAAGAGAAATCCCCATTCATCACTGAAATACAGGTGAATCTATACAGGAGTATCGTAGCTACTGAACAATGAATTTTGTATTCAGTGGGAATCTCTGAATGATGTACTCACATTGAATAATCTGATATTCATTCATTTGTTCCCCATTCTTATCTTGCTGCCAGGCTGGGTGGGTTTGGGAGGCCTTGAAGAATGAACCAGTGATGAGGAATCTCTTCTGCCCTGTTGCAGTCAGAACAGGGAAACCACAGACTGTGGATGTGCCAGAGCCTCAGAGAAACAAGAAGGTGCAAACCACCATGAACTGAAAAAGTCAAATATTTTGCAGTAACCTTGGCTTCTCCTGAGATCTCTTCTCCATTTTGTAGCTGAGCCCCATCCAAATTAATTCCCAGAATTTCACATTATCACAGCCTGAGGCTATTGGGCTGCAATGAAACCTGGGAAACTTGTTTCAGTAAATCTTAATTCTAAAGCTGACCACATCTTGGACAGGACCAAGTACTGCCTGTCTAACAGATGTAATATGCAAATGTTGGCTGTGGTTTTGGTACAACCATGAGTAATATCTTACATGTTCCTGTTTCACAGAGTGTCTATGAGTCTAGAAGATTAGGCCTGAAAAGTTTTGTTATGTTTCCTTTTTTTATATCTGAATAATGTTTAATCAATTCAAGTATACATAGCAGTTGGGATGTCCGTCCTAGAAGCAGCAAGGGAGATGGGAATTTCTTGACCCTATTCTGAATTTTCTAAGTTTTAGGACTAGTGGTAATTTTATACTACATATACTAGGTACACTACAGGATATTTTGCTAACACAGATGAATTAAAATAAAGATGTCCTTTGTGTAGATGTGCATGCAAATGTACATAAATATAGTTTAGCAAGACTGTGTGCATCAATTTAGATATACAAATATAAGTTGGAACTCCTTCCACTTTCAGTCCCTATATTTATTTATCTTAGTGTAATTTTCATTATTTTGTATAAATGATGTTTCAACAGAGTGATTTAGTGTATGCTTCACTTTAAGCTCATAGAACATGGTCAGTGAATTGAAGTTTTAGCAGTAATAGATTGTGCTAATTTGGTGGACAAAGAAGGACATTTGCATAGGCCCAATCAGTCTGGCAATTTCTTACTACCCAAAGTAGAGAGCGGAGGCCTTGACCAAGTAGAAACAAAGTATGCTTCTATTTATAAATAAATAATCAGGCCAAAATTAAGAGAAGTCCTGAATGAAATCTATCAATATCTTCTTTATACACTGATATTAAGTGTGTGTGTGATTTTGACTGATTCTGTTTAGATAAACAAGTTGAAAAGAAGGATGCTGATCATGGTAATAGCATAGAATCTAATGCAAGCAGTGACAGTCTGGTAAATTTTAAAAAAAATCTTCTGCGTGTCAAAGAGTTCCTTGAGTTTTCTGAATGTGGCATCTTAAAATTAAACAAAAGCATAATTTTTAGGTCACTACTAGAGTTACACTTACACTTACAGAAGCACTCCTTTGAGAGCTAAATAGGTCAGAGAAAATATAGTTTGTTTGAAAATCACACTGGCACTTGTGGTTTAACCTGGCAGGCAGATAAGCACCACACAGCACTTCATGTTCACCTCCCCAGTTGAATGGGAGTTGGGAAATAAACAAAATTTGTGGATTGAGATAAAGACAGTTGCTGTCACCTGTTCTGACTGTCCCCTTTCCCAGTTCTTGTGCTCTCCCAGCCTCCTTGCCAGCAGGGCAGAGTGAGAAGCTGGAAGGTCTTTGACACTGTGTAAGCACTGCTCTGTAATAGCTAAAACAGTATGTTATCATCATTTTTCCCCTAAATCCAAAACACAGTACCACACCAGTCACTGCAAAGAGAATTAACTCTATATCAGTCAAAAATCAGGACAATACTCATTCTTTGTGTGTTGGGATAAACTCCCATTCCCACTGGGTTGAGATGTGGACCACAAAAAAAAGTCTTGATAGAGTTCAAGTTGGAAGAGACCCGTAGGGATGCTCATTTCAGTGCATCAGTTGTTGTTAAGTGAGAATTCCTCTACAGCAATACTAGGGAAAATAATTTCCTATCTTATAAACTATTTTCATATCTATTCAAAGCTGTTTGGACACAATTCTGATAGGATAGACATGCATATCAGTTTATTAGTGTAAATCTCTTGGCATCAATACTGTCTGAAGTGAAAGTTTCTTGAATCTTAATTAATTGCACTGATTGTAACTTTTCTCCTATTTACTTGCTCAGTTATATATATCACTCACTGAGGAGCTTGCTTAAAAATAGTGAAAATAGAAGAATAGAAACAGACAGAAAGAAAACACAAAAGGCAGGGAAAACATATGTGAGAAAGGAGGAAAAAGTGAACTAACTGTGGTATGTAAAACAAAAAGAAAGAGATCAGAATGAACCAGAGTCAATGGAAAAGAGAATAAGTCTAGAGATATGGCAGGAAGCCTGGGGGAGGCCTGGAGAAAGAAAACTACAAGAAAAGGATATCAGAAAAAAAAAGGAGGGGCTGAAAGAGGAGAAATGTAGGACTAGAGATGGTGAAATCCAGGATTACACTAAAGGGAAAAATTGTATATTTTATTTTATTTTTTATTTTTTTTACTTTACTGGTCAGTAGGAAAATGTACATTTTTATTCTCTGTTGGAAAACCTATTAAACTGGCTCCTGATGAAAGGGTCTCCCTTATACTTGCGGATTGAAATTTTCCTTACAACACCTTGACTTGCTTTGGTAGAAGTATTGTTAGTCACTGTAATATTATCTCATGAAAACACAGTCTGCAGAGAAATGGATGATGAAGTGCTCCTAGTAAAAAAAAAAAATAATTTGTAACTAAACTGCATGCATGCAGAAACACATATGTTTTTTTTCCTCAGATAGCAAGAATGTACTGCCTAAGTGGTGTGTAAAAATTTAAATTAATTTAGCCAGTTTTAATATGGTATTGCCAACTGCTTTTGTTACAAATAAATATTTAAAGATCAATTTTCATATACAATCAAAGCTTAAGAACGAATCATTTCAATATGCCAAGATTCCTTTCATTTCTCTGTCTCTCTTCTCCCCTCTCTCCCCTTCCATCAGTGGCTAGCTATTAAAGATAAAATGGTTGTAATCATTATTATAATAGATCCCTCTGCATGATCATTCTAAGTGGGCCTAATCCTCTGCTTTTCTTGTTGCATCGCAGTATCCTACTATGGGAATGGAAGTGATGACACAAAGGATTATGACTACTGGATATGAAAAAAGAGCAGAGTGGAAGTTACTTTTTCTACAGAAGTGCTTAATAAACATTAAGTTTTGACACATGGCTGACAGAAAAAAACCCTACATGGCATGAACTTCTTTAGCACAATGTTTTCCATTGCATTTTTTCTGAAAATACAAGTTAATTAAAACACACACAATACCCTATTTTTGAATTCTAAGTATGAGACAAGGCCATACCGTATGCATACAAACTGTAAGAAATAATTTATAGGATAAATTCCCCACAAGACCATTCAGGGAGAGGAAAAAAAAAAACACAAAAAACCTAAAAGAAAGAGAGAGAAAAAAAGACCTGGCTCTTGACACTAAAGGCTTAACATCAAATGCGGCCAGAAATCCATTTTCACAGTTTTATTGCCCATTCTGGACGCTTCATTTCAAAGGGAAAGAATTTGAATTCAGACACATAAAATTCCCTTTGTTCTCTTGCCCTCCAGCCTTTGGTGCCAGTGTGGACGGTCCTATAGGGAGAGGTTGAGATCAAAAAAACTTTCAGCTTAGATACCTGGCCCCAAATGATGCCCCTTGGCATTCTTAATTAAATCAGCTTTGCAATAGATTGACAATGCACTGTCAATTATAATCATTTATATTAGCAAACGGAGTATTTTTAACACTTTGGAAATAGCAAAAGTTCAGTAGACCTGGGGAAAAAAAAAAAAAAAAGCTATACAATTTTACTGCTTGATGATCACATAGAATGTAGTACATTGGATTGTAGGTCACATAACATTTTATCTTAGCACTGGGTAAAGCTGATGTGATTTCGCATATCTTTTCCCATCTGAAAGGACATTTCCAGTTAGGTTCATCTGGGTTGTTTGTTGTTTTTCTGTCGGCTTCAAAACAGAAGTTGAGTGTAGTGCAAGGGGGCAGGAAGGAGGGGACATTGCAGCCCTGTGATGGAGGGAACCTTTGTTATAGAGAAAGGGCCTGATCCAGAGTCTACTGCACTGGAGGGAGGTATTTCTATTGATCTCAGTAGGCTTCGACCAGTACCTGCAGAGATTATTTTCACTGAGAGTTCTGAGGTACTTTTGATATTAAAATCTGCACAGGAATATTTATGAAAGGAAGGTATCTCCTTTGGTAGCAAACGACATCCTGACTTGTACTGATGAATAAGGTACTTTCTGCTTTCTACAGTGTTATTTCTTTATGTTTTAGCCTCATGCCTCTTTCTATTCCAGTTAATTTGGAATAGATACAGATCAGCTTTCAGGCTTCAGAGTGTAAATTGATCACCTGGAGAGGTCAGGAAGGCATTTTTCCCTCTCCACGTATAGCACTGCACAGGAGATTAGAGGTCTGTACAACAATGCCTATATTTCTACTTTCTGTGGAGTTTATAGCTACTTTTTCCTTTCTTCTTTTTGGAACCCACTGACTCTGATATTCATTTTGCTTCAGTGAGTTATGCATGACTTTTTCTTCAAACATTCATGTAAGTTGATTTTGATTTTCCTGTAGGAAATAGGATTCTACCATCAGATGTTAATATAGGAGAGTAGATGATTGCTTCGATTGCTTCATAGCAGATTATGTTCTTGTTTCATGGCAATAGGTGGATACCTTCTTTCTGTTAAAGTCTAAAATATGGACAATTTTTAATTGTGAATCAGATTTATTTGTAGGGAGGCTATCAGAGTAGCAACTAAAAAGAAGATTATTAGTAAACTTGAAAAATAATCTTTGCCATAACCCGCATCAAATTTGATTTATATTTTTAGGAGCTATGAAAAAGTTGTTACAACCAGGAAATACTGATTGCGTGTTGCAGATTTAACCCTAATTAAGATACTTTTCTAAGCCTTAAAAGTTTATATTTCAAACCCAGTTAGGAGTGTCTGGCATTTCTTGCAACTAAACTATTTTCAAGTTACTGAGGATTAAGGAACTCACATAAATCCTATCAATTTTCGGTCCAGAGATAGGGGGCAAATTTAAAAATAAGAAAGAAACTGAAAAAGTAGTGTCAGCTGACCTAAACTGTGTAAGCATAAGGACCTGAAGTTTGAGAACTGACCTTCAGAATGATCTGGCATAGGTTCCTCAGAAATTGTTCTTGTGAACCAAAATCAAGATTAGCCTAGCCAGGACCTGTCCCCCAACTATTACATGCACAAAAACTGTTACTTCTCATTTGGTGAGGTCCATTTTGCAGTGTGCCTTAAAAACACCTTGAATTGCAGCACAATGAACCACTGCTGGAAGTGAACTGTGGTAGTGATTCTAAACACATATACTCTGTGATAGTTTGTGTTACTACAATGATGAGTAGCTGGAATGTTCAATTACTAGAGCTTTTAAATAAATGCAAAATAGATTTCATTACAGTAGCTGATTGGTAGTAGAGATCTCTTTAGACATTGGTGTGTATCTGTATATATACAGATATATGCTCTCACTGCTGAAGTCAGAGAGTCATTCTGAAAGTTCCTACTTCCATTTTCTCTTAAACTCCTTTTAGCTTTCACTCAGCTCTCTTCATACTACTCTTTTTGTTCTTCCTATGAATGTATATATAATCCAGGACTTTTTAAATCATGCCTGGAGAGCCAGCTGTTTCCTTTAAACATGCCACATGAGGACAGTTATTGAGCTCTGCAGAATATTCCTCTTTTGTTCTTTCAACTAAACTCTCTTAGCAATAGCAAATTTGCATGTCAGGCTATTTTCTAATTTTAGTATCACTGGACATACTCCTCATAATTACAATTTCCATTTTCTTTTGAAAAATCCTTTTTTCTAGATAGATTTTAATGCCCTGTTCTATGATTTCATCAACCAGCCTAAGTCTTTCTTAAAAATCAACAGTGTCAATAGCAAGATTCTGTTGAGCTTTGGGGACTCACTGAAGTGAGGAATAGCCTCAATTTATATTTAAGCAATAAATTTGCAGCTGAAAAACTAACAAGCAAACAAAAACAGCAAAATGGGGAGCATAGGGAGTACCATGGAATCCAATAACCCATTAGCATTATTGCAAGTATAAAAGCATCACAAAAACAAGTACCATTACACAGTATTTTCTTCTGATCTTCAGATTAAGCAGAACAGAAAACAAACAGTTTTCAGGAAGATTCTTGTTTCATTTTGAAATTTAGTTAATCCAAAAGCCAATTTAAATTTTAAATAAATCTTTAAATAATTCTGCTTATGTATTTTATCACAACTTATTTTTGTGTATTCAGTGAAGGATTAGTAGCTGTTGAAATAGTTGATTTCAATACACTCAATTCCTTTTAAGGGTCGATAAACCATGGCACTGCAATGGATTCAAAAGTTTCATATTCTGGAATCATGCTAAATTCACTTTATTTGAGCAAATGTTTCCAATGAAGGAAAAGATAAGATATTTGATGATCTCGTTTAAAAAGGGTCAGATTTTTTTTTCTTTTCCTTTCCTTTCCTTTCCTTTCCTTTCCTTTCCTTTCCTTTCCTTTCCTTTCCTTTCCTTTCCTTTCCTTTCCTTTCCTTTCCTTTCCTTTCC